CTCAGTCTGAATCTGCGTTTGACTAGAAATAAAAGCAGGTTTTAATTTTTTTTTTCAGTCTTCCTCTGTTTGGTTCTCCCCCATCCCATTATGCATTCAACACTAAAATCTCAAATATTGAATGACACTAAGGATTTGCTTTTAATTTTTAAGTGATAAAAGTATTGTGGTTATGTGTTTAGATAATATCCTTTAAAGGTATATATTAAACAGATAAAATTATATAATGTGAGAAATTTGCTTAAAATGGGAAGAGGAGGGTGCCTGGGTGGCTCAGTGGGTTAAGCCTCTGCCTTCGGCTCAGGTCATGATCTCAGGGTCCTGGGATCGAGTCCCGCATCGGGCTCTCTGCTCTCTCTCAGTGGGGAGCCTGCTTCTCCACCCCCATCTCTTTCTGCCTGCCTCTCTGCCTACTTGTGATCTCTGTCAAATAAATAAATAAAATCTTTTTAAAAAAATTTTTTAAGAAAGGGGGAAGAGGAAGTTTAAATGAAGTAAGACTGGCAATGAATTGATAGTTGTTGAAACTGAGTGATGGGTACATAGGTATTCATTATACTATTTATATAACTTAATATATATTTGAAATTTTTCATAATAGAAAGTTTTTTAAAATCTCATTTTCTGAGAATGGTCTCAGTTAGACCTACTCCTTCTGCCTTTTATACACTTGTCTTCAAAGACTTTCCCCTCAAAAACAAGTACTTTTCCCATCAGCAACTCAAAGATGAGAACTCCAGCCATCTAGCAGTGGGAATGTGTTGCTTTGAGCTAGTTACACTTTGTGACAAAGTGCACAGGTGTGAAGATCTTTGAGTAGACTTAGAAATGGTTCAACAGGGGCGCCTGGGTGGCTCAGTGGGTTAAAGCCTCTGCCTTCGGCTCGGGTCATGATCCCAGGTTCCTGGGATCGAGCCCCGCATCGGGCTCTCTGCGGCAGCGAGCCTGCTTCTTCCTCTCTCTGCCTGTCTCTCTGCCTACTTGTGATCTTTGTCTGTCAAATAAATAAATAAATAAATCTTTAAAAAAAAAAAAAAGAAATGGTTCAACAGTAACATCATATCTGTCTGCTCTAAATGTATGTGGGCATCTAACGTAAGTGGAACATAAAATTATACAACAACTTTGGAAAGCATTTAGCAGTTTCCTAAAAAGTTAAATATAAATTTACTGTAGGATCCAGCAAGTCCAATTCTAGATATTTACTAAGGAAATAAAAGCACATATCCATGTAAAAGCTTGTACACACATATTTGGCACAGCTCTTTGCAATAGCCATAAACTGGAAAAACTCAAATGTCCAACAAATTAGTAAACAAATTGTGCAATATCCATACAATAGAAGGCTACTCAGCAATAAAAATAAATGAACTATCAGTAGATGCAAAAACATAAATAAATCTCAAAATAATTATGCTGAGCAAAAGAAGCTGTCAAAAAAAGAACATATATGATCCCATTCATATAAAATTTTTTTATTTTTTTTATCTTTAAGATATAATTGGCATGTAATATTGTATGAGTTTTAAGGTGTACTGTACAGTGATTTGATATATGCATATGTCAAATATATAGTGAAGTAATTGCCACAATAAGGATAGTTAACACATTCCTCACCTCACAGAGGTATAATTCTTTTGTTTGTTAGTTTGGTGGTAAGAAATTTTAAGATCTACTCTCTCAGCAACTTTCAAATATACAATACAGGATTGTTAGGCCTAGTCACCATGCTGTTCATTACGACTCCAGAACTTAAATATCTTATAACTGGAACTTTGTGCTCTTTGACCACCTTCACCCCACTCCTCCTCACCTACCCTTAGCCCCTAGCAGTCACCAATCTGCTGTTTTTATGGGACTTTGTTTTTGTTTTAAATTCCACATATAGAGTATCAGAGTATTTATCTTTCTCTGACTTATTTCACTTAGCATAATGCCATCAAGGTTCATCCATGCCACAAATAGCAGAATTTTCTTCTTTTCTATGGTTGACTAATATTCCTCTGTGTGTGTGTGTGTGTGTGTGTGTGTGTGTGTGTGTGTGTAACACATTTTCTTTATCTGTTCATCTGTCAGTAGACACTTAGGTGATTTCCATGTCTCGGCTTTTGTAAATAATGGCACAGTGAACATGGGGGTACAGATAACTCCTCAAGATAGGGATTTAATTTCCTTTGGATATATACTCAGAAGAGGAATTACTGGATCGTATGGTAGTTCTAATTTTCTCAGGAGCATCCAAACTGTTTTCATAGTGGCTGTACCAATTTACATTCCCATCAACAGTGTACATCCCCCCTAGTACGTGTTATCTCTTTTTTTTTTTATTACAGCCATTCTAACATTCTTTGATTATAACATTTCTAAGGTGACATCTCATTGTGGTTTTGATTTGCATTTCCCTGATAATTAGTGATGTTGAGTATCTTTTCACATACCTTTTGGGCATTTGAAGAAATCTAAATATGAAACAAATATTTGAAACCTATTATTGGGGTGCCTGGATGGCTCAGTCGGTTAAATGCCTACCTTCAGCTCAGGTCATGATCTCAAGGTCCTGGGATGAAGCCCCGTGTACAGCTCTCTGCTCAGTAAGAAGTCTGCTTCTCCTTCTCCCTCTGCTCCTCACCCCTCCTCACTTGTGTGTGCATATTCTCTCTCTCTTGCAAATAAATAAATAAAATCTTAAACGAGGGGCACCTGGGTGGCTCAATGGGTTAAAGCCTCTGCCTTCGGCTTGGGTCATGATCCCAGGGTCCTGGGATTGAGCCCCGCATCGGGCTCTCTGCTCATCAGGGAGCCTGCTTCCTCCTCTCTCTCTCTCTCTGCATGCCTCTCTGCCTACTTGTGATCTCTGTCTGTCAAATAAATAAATAAAATCTTAAAAAAAAATATTAAACGAAATTTAATTAAAAAATAAACCTCTTATCTATTTAGGTCCTTTGCCCTTTATTTAATCGAATTATTTGCTTTTTTGCTATTTGCTGTTGAGTTGCATGACTTCCATATGTATTTTGGATATTAACCTTTTATCAGATACACAATTTGCAAATATCTTCTTTCACTCCATAGATTGCCTTTTTATTTGTCAATTATTTCTTTTGTTGTGCAGAAGACTTTAATTTGATGTAATCCCACTTATTCAATTTTGCTTTAGTTGCTTGTGCTTTTGGTTGTCACATCCATAAAATCATTGCCAGACTGTTGTCAGAGAGCTTTTTCTCTGCTTTTTTCCTAGGAATTTTATGGTTTCAGGTCTTACATTTAAGTCTTTAATCCATTTAGAGTAAATTTTTGTGAGAGGTATAAGATAGGGGTCCAGTTTCACTCTTTTACATATGATTATCTAGTTTTTCCAGCACCATTTATTGAAGGGTCTGTCTTTTCTCCATTGAGTTTTCTTGCCTCCCTTGTCCAGTATCAGTTGGCCTTATGTGCATGGGTTTATTTCTGGACTCTTGACTCTGTTGCATTGGTGTATGTCTGTGTTTATGCCAGTATCATACTGTTGCGCTTTTTTTGTTGTTTTAAGCTTTTATTTATGTAACACGGCGGGGTGGTGGAGAGCAAGCTACAAGCAGAGATAGCAGCAGGCAGGGGAGAAGCAGGCTTCCCACTGAGCAAAGAGCCCGATGTCGGGGTTAATCCGGACACTGGGATCATGACCTGAGCCAAAGGTAGCTGCTTAACCAACTGAGGCACCCATACTGATTTGATTAGTATAGCTTTGTAATATAGTTTGAAATGAGGACATGTGATGCGTCTAGCTTAGTTTTCTTTCTCAAGATTACTTTGGCTATTCACAGTTTTTTAGGGTTCTATCAAAATTTTACAATTAGTTTTTCTATATCTGTGGAAAAAAATGCCATTGGAATCTTGATAGGCATTACATTGACTCTATAGATAGCTTTGGGTAGTATAGAATTTAACAATGTTTATTGTTCCAGTCCATGAACATAGAATATCTTTCCATTTATTTGTATCTTCACTTTCTTTCATTAGTGTCTAAATCCCAATTGATCACAATGTTTGATCCTTTAAATGTGTTGTTGAATTTGGTTTGCTAGTATTTTGTTGAGAAGTTTTGCATCTATATTCATCAAGGATATTGGCTTATAGTTTTTTTCTCTTGTAGTGTCCTTGTCTAGCTTTGGTACGAGGGTAATGCTGGCCTTGTAAAATGAGTTCAAGAAGATTATCTCCTCTTCCCAAACTTCTTTTCTAAACATCATTCTTAAACTTGTCTTTTTTGCTTCCTTGTCCCTCTATACCCTTTTCTCTCTCAACCTGATGGCAGATTGAGCTAATTTGGAACCATGATCTTGCATAGGAAGGTATCATCTTTAGGGGCATCTGGGTGGTGCAGTCAGTTAAGTGGCTGACTCTTGTTTTTGGCTCAGGTCATGATCTCAGGGTCATGAGATTGAGCCCCACATTGGGTTCCATGCTAGTTAGCAGCAAAGTGACTTTAGGAAAAATACTTTTCTGTTTTTAATATCAAGTTCCTTATCTATTACTAAAAGAGAGGTTTTATAAATATTAAATTAAATAATATACATAAAGTACTCAGCACAGTTGCTGATACTTAATAAGTGTTTAATATAGTTTAATTACTTTTTTTAAGATTTTATTTATTTATTTGACAGAGAGAGACAGAGCGAGAGAGGGAACACAAGCAGGGGAGTGGGAGACGGAGAAGCAGGCTTCCCACGGAGCAGATCCTGGGATCATGACCTGCGCTGAAGGCAGATGCTTAACGACTGAGCCACCCAGGCTCCCCTACTTTAGTTACTTTTATTTCCCTTCAAAGTCCCAAAGATGCCTCCTGCTGGGCTTTTTTTTTTTCTGTCCTGGGTAGTACTGGTTAGAGCCTATGAACTATAGGGCCCCCCTCACCTCCAAGAAGAGAGAGAAGTTTATTGAGAGATAAGTCTCCAAAAGGTAGATCTGAAGCAGCATATGTCTTGGACAAAATGTTAATTCTTTTTTTGATTTTTCAGATTTTCCTGTTTTTAGGTGGCATGTGTTTTATCCTAGCAATTGGGCATGGCATTTGGGAAAACAAGAAAGGCTACTACTTCCAGGATTTTCTACCATGGGAAGAATATGTGTCTTCATCAGTTGTCTCTGCCATCCTCACATTCTGGTCCTACTTCATTATTCTCAACACTATGGTGCCCATTTCCCTTTATGTCAGGTAGGATTTTTTGACCACTTTGTGTTACAGCGGGAGGGAACTGACTTTTTACTTCCTGCTTAACTCACCAAATAGACTGTGAATGTTTAGAAAACATAGATTGCGTGCTCTTTAACTGTTTCCTTCCCACAGTACCCAGTGTACAAAACACTCTGAGAAATGTCTAGAGATAGGGGTGCCTGGGTGGCGCAGTTAGTTAAAAGACCAACATGGTTTCAGCTCAGGTTATGATTTCAGGGTCCTGAGATTGAGCCCCACATCTGGCTCCACACTCAATGTGGAGTAACCTTGGGATTCTCTCTCCCTCTCCCTGGCTCCCTTCTGCTTGTGCTTCTCTTTCTCTCTCTCTCTCAAATAAATAAATAAATCTTAAAAAAAAAAAAAAGATAAGAAACTGCCAAACTTCTTATCCAAGTGTTAAAAAAAAATGTCTAGAGATTGTGTAAGTGCTTTCCATATCCAGAATACTGTGCTAGATACTATGTGAATTATACAAAAGAAAACCGTCCCTACCCTCAAATGGCTTATAATGTAAATGGCTAGGGGCACCTCAGTGGCTCAGTCGTTAAGCATCTGCCTTTGGCTCAGGTCATGATCCCAGAGTCCTGGGCTCCCTGCTCCATGGGGAATCTGCTTCTCCCTCTCCCACTCCCTTGCTTGTGTTCCCTCTTTCACTGTATCTCTCTCTGTCAAATAAATAAATGAAATCTTTAAAAAAAGACTAAGACATATAAACCCATACAATAATTAGAAAAAATGTACAGAAATTGGGTGATGCTAAAGCACAAGCCAGGGAGCCACAGTTAATCAATGAGATAGGTTCCAAATATTCATTTGTAAATCATTTAATCAGAACTCACATTCTGTTTTCCTATAAAAACAATGTGACAAATGGTAGATAGGTATAATTATGACCTAAATTCTGGTTTCTAAAAGTTGGTACAGAAATGGATGTTTCCTCCTCCTTTGCATGGACAAAAATTTGAAATAGATAAAATAAATTTTTACTCTGATCTCCTTTTTCTGTTTTCATCATTCTCTTTCACAATATGCACCCAGACACATTTTCGTATCCTTCTTTCCAAGTTTCCTAAGCCCTGCACTGTGACAGTCCAACCTGAAAAGCACCTTAAGTGACAAAATTATCTTATTAATTTAGTATTTATTGAGCACGTACTATGTGCCAAGCACTATAATAGGTGTTAGAAATAGAAGTATGAATAACAAGACAGCTGCTTCTATAGATAAGCTTATAACATAGCCATGGAAACAGATATTTTAAAAATTATGGTACGGGGGCACCTGGGTGGCTTTATAGGTTAAGCGTCTGCCTCCAGCTCAGGTCATGATCCCAGGGTCCTGAGATGGAGCCCCGTATCAGGCTCTCCACTCAGCAGGAAGCCTGCTTCTCCCTCTGCCCCTCCCCCTGCTTCTGTTCCCTCTCTGAATGTGCTTCTCTCTGTCAAATAAATAAATAAAATCTTTAAAAAATTATGGTACAGTATAGAAAATGATGTAGTAGGAGTATGTATGGGGATGCTGTGGAAGACTAGAAGAGGAATGGGTTGATTCTACTTGGAGAACCTTGGGGATTTCCAAAAAGTAACAAACTGATACTTGAGAAAATAGTAGAATTCACCAAGTAAAAATAGCAAAACAATATTGCAAACAGAAAGATCAGTTTGTATGAAGGTTTGGTGTTTTTTAAAAGCTTGATCTAGTCAAAGAACAGTGAGTAGGCTAGGATAAAATGTTGGATGGTAATTTAATATCAGATCCAAGAGAGCCTTAAATGCCAGGACAAGTAGTCTGGATTTTATCCTAAAAGCCGGAAAGATCTTTCTAAGGATAGAAATAATCTGATTAAATGTTCGGGTTTAGAGAAATTGCTGTGTTGGTTAGTATGGCAAGGAAGGGAGGGATCAAGAGTCAGTGCATGAGGTCTAGTAGTCAATAATGTGGGCTAGAACCCTCCCACCTCACCTGAAATAAAAAAAATCCACATTGCTCAATGCAGCTGTCTCTTAGAAGCAATCGAAACTAACACACATTAAGCATGAATGATGATAGGAAGGAGGCCCCTTAAAAATCTTTGTTTTAAGATGGGATTGGGAGGGAGACAAACCATAAGTGACTCTTAATCTCACAAAACAAACTGCGGGTTGATGGGGGGGGTTGGGGGGGGTGGGGTTATGGACATTGGGGAGGGTATGTGCTATGGTAAGTGCTGTGAAATGTGTAAACCTGGCGATTCACGGACCTGTACCCCTGGGGATAAAAATATATGTTTAAAAAAATAAAATGTATTAAAAAAATAAAAATTAAAAATTAAAAAAAATCTTAACTGTTTTAAAATGAAGATGCTTGTTAACCATAAAGAATCTACAATGTACCTTACTTGGAATAGAAGAGGAATGTGACAAAGGCAATAGGGAAAATTCAGATAAAGTAAGGAGGACACTATTAGGGTTGGCGGTGAGGAAGAAGCTACCCCACAGGCAGGTTGGGTCTGCCTGGAAATTTATCAGATCAGCTTCTATAATCAGCTGTTTCTAATTTTCAGACATCCTTCCCTTCTTATGTACAAAGAAGTTTCTGAGTGTTTCAAGTTTCTCTCTCTTCTTTACCATGGATTTACATGATAGTTACAGTAATCCTCTAATTTAACCTAGGCAGCCTTTTAGTAGTTCTTAATTCTGTCAGGCTTTGCATTACTGCAGAAATTCAAAATATTTTACTTTTCCTGGGTATGTTTTGGAAGAAGAAAGAATGAAAAGGGGTTATGCCTCAGCAAAATTAAGTATGTCTCAGGTGGTAAAGCCCTGAATAATAATGTTCAAAATCAGAATTACATTGGGTTGGCTGGTGGGAAGAGTCCTTCAAAATCCCTGGTAGGTTCCCAAGGAAGATACTCTGATTTTCAGGTCCTCACCCTGACCTATCATAGGACTGTTAAGAAGGAAACCAGGATGATGTATTTGATCTCTTCTGACCCAGGACCCTTCTTTTCTTGCTTTCTTCAGTGTTGAGATAATAAGATTGGGCAACAGTTGCTATATCAACTGGGATCGGAAGATGTATTATGCACCAAAGAACACACCAGCACAGGCTCGTACCACCACCCTTAATGAGGAACTTGGCCAGGTCAAATATGTGTTCTCCGACAAAACCGGAACCCTGACTCAGAACATCATGATTTTCAATAAGTGTTCTATTAATGGGATAATCTATGGTATGCATGCCTTCCTGCTTTCCCTGAGTCCTAGGGAAATTCTACCTTGCAAATTGTTTCCAAGAGTAATCTCCCTCTAAATCTATATGCCTCTGAAATTCACATTTACCTCTTAATCCTCAGCCTTCCCTATTTGCTAGGCAAAGATCCCCGACTCCATTTACCTGCTTACCAAAAAGCATTTATTTAACACCTTATAGAGGTAAACCGTTGTGTTGGAAATTGGAAATACCAAGATGTACAAGACTTAATCTCTGTCCTCAAGGTATTCCTGATGTCTTGAGAGTGTCAGTTCACTCATACTAAATCAGACGGAGAAACCAGCATATTGATGAAGCTGCTAATCTCCTGGTTCCACTTCAGACCAATAAGCAGGCTTGAGAGAGGCTATCAAAGGAACATAATGAATGCCACTGAATTGTACACTAAATAATAGTTAACATTTTATGTTACATGTATTTTACCACAACAAAAAAATTTAAACCTTTATTTAAAACCCTTGCCAAGGGGCACCTGGGTGGCTCAGTGGGTTAAGCCGCTGCCTTCGGCTCAGGTCATGATCTCAGAGTCCTGGGATCGAGCCCCGCATCGGGCTCTCTGCTCAGCAGGGAGCCTGCTTCCTCCTCTCTCTCTGCCTGCCTCTCTGCCTGCTTGTGATCTCTCTGTCAAATAAATAAATAAAATCTTTAAAAAAAATAAAATAAAATAAAACCCTTGCCAAGGGGCACCTGGGTGGCTCAGTAAGTGCATCTGACTTCAGCTCAGGTCATGATCCCAGGGTCCTGGGATTGAGTCTCACATTGGGCTCCCTGCTCTGCAGGGGGCCTGTTTCTCCCTCTCCCACTCACCCTGCTTGTGTTCCCTCTCTCGAGACAGTGAGTCTCTCTCTCTCTGTCAAATAAATAAAAATATATAAATAAAATAAAACCCTTGCCAAGTCTCTGCTCTGTTTCCTTACCAACAGGTTGTGGCTATGACAAGAATGGACAGAAGGTAGAAGTCTCTGAGGTGAGTGATTGCAGCTCCCTGTGAAATGCATCTGGGAGCTAAGGCTGTGCTGCATAGCGACATTGTTGACACAAATTGGGAGTCCCTTAGCTCCTGAAATAGTAAAGCTTTTATTGGCCCCATAATATCAGAAAGCATTGTACAAATGGCCTATGTTTATTTGAGGGGATTTGGGTTTGTGTTTTGTTTTGTTTTTTAAGATTTTATTTGTCAGAGAAAGAGAGAGAACGCAAGCAGGGGGCAGAGGAAGAAGCAGGCTCCCTGATGAGCAAGGAGCCTGATGCAGGACTCGAACCCAGGACTCCAGGATCATGACCTGAGCTGAAGGCAGACACTTACCTGACTGAGCCACCCAGGCATCCCGAGAATTCCTTGCATTTTAAATATTCATATTTTATAGTTCAAATTCCCATTTGTTGATTAATTCTTTTTTGAAATCTGTGTTTTAAAATGAAAATACCTTTGTTTCTTTCTGTTTAAAAAACAATCTATGCTCACTATTAAAAAAAGTCCGAACTATACAGAAATGTATGAAGAAGAAAGTTAAAGTTACTCAATCCCTTATAGAAAACCAGTGTAAAATTTAGAGGTATACTCTTTCAGATATTTTTCATGTGTGTATATGCACACACATATACATCGAGATCTAATGATAGACATATGAATGGATGGATGGGAGGAAGGAAGGAAGGAGAAGAAAGAAAATAAGGAAGGAAAGAAAGAAAAGGAAGGGAAGAAGAAGCATTATAGCATGTGTGCTATTTTCACCCTCCTTTTTATGCACTTGATGTATATTGTAGTCTTGTTTCCATGTCAGTAAATTTAGGTCTGCATCATCATTTTGAATGAGTGGCATATCCAATAGTATTGGTGTACCTTCATTTATTTAAACAACCCCCTATTTTTATTCCATTTTATTTTGCTATTATAAATAATATTGGGGTAAGCAGCTTGGTACATACATTCTAGTCTCTTCTTCTGATAATTATTTCTTTAGAATAAAGTCCTAGAATTGAAATTGGCTGGTCAAAGTGTAGCCACATTTTTAATGCATTAATATTGCCATATTGTTCTCTAGATAGATTGCATCGATTTATAATCTCACCAAAGTATCTGAGAATTCTTTTCTTCCCATATCCATATCAGTACTGGGTATTAATCATCTTTTAATCTTTAGAAATTTAATTGGTAAAAAATGACATCTCATGTAATTTATCTTCCTCTGATTACTAATCAAATTGAATCATTTTTATGTGCTTATTTTCCTTCCCCTTCCCACTTTATTTCCTATTTATAATATTTTATGAGTAGCCTGTTCATACTCTTTGCCCTTTTTTTCTTATTTGAAAGCACTCTATATAGTAAAAACACCAACTCTTCCTTTGGCACATACATTATAGTTACTTTCCCCATTTTTGTCTTTTGGGTTTTGTTTATCATTTTTTTCTGTGTAGAAGTTTCTAATGTGTGTGACCAAGTCTGTCAGTCTTTTTCCTTTATAGTTTTAGGATTTGTGATATACTTAATAGTCCTAACTCACACAATTATAAAAATATCTTCCTATTCATTATTCCTATTTCTAGCTGGTTCATTTTGACTATTTTCTCAAGTATTAAATCTCAATTTATGTTTATGGATTTGATTTTAAGCATCCCTTCATAGGGCTTTCTCTTTTACCTTCATGGTACTCCTTACCCTGTCCCTTTCCTTCTAGAACCAGTTCCAAACCCTTAGCCACTTGACTTATGTACCAAATAGCTAACTCCAGCTCCCAACTACTGCCTCATTCATATCTCTCCAAAAATATTGGGAATGGGAAAGAACATCTTTCTCCTCCTCCTCCTCTTCCTCCTTCTTCTTCTTGTTCTTCTTCTTCTCCCTCTTCTCCTCCTCCCCCTCCTCCTCCACCTCCTCCTCCTCCTTCTTCTTCTTCTTCCTCTTCCTCTCCTCCTTGTTCTTCTTCTTCTTCCTCTTCCTCCTCTTCTTCTTCTTCTTCTTCCTCCTCCTCCTCCTCCTCTTTCTCCTCCTCCTTCTTCTTCCTCTTCTTGTTCTTCTTCTTCTTCCTCTTCTTCTTCTTCTTCCTCTTCTTCTTCTTCCCCTTCTTCTTCTTCTTCTTCTTCTTCTTCTTCTTTCTTCTTTCTTCTTTCTTCTTTCTTCTTTCTTCTGCTTTCAGTCCTCTTCTAGGCACTCTGGTAATGACCTTGGCAATATAAACAAAGTTGTAGTTTGTAGAGAATACAAGCTGGTCAAAGGGTGGCCACATTTTTAATGCATTTAATATTGCCATATTGCTCTCTAGATAGATTGCATCAATTAATAATCCCACCAAAGTATATGAGAATTCTTTTTTTCTCATATCCTTCCCACTTCTTCAGGAACCTCAGTCAGTCCTAAGCTCTCTCTTTCTTAGTATCTGAAAGTTATCTCCTTAATGTGATTCTTTCCCCTCAACTCAAGTTTTCCCTTTCTTTAAAAAAATGCTGGGGCGCCCTAGTGGCTCAGTGGGTTAAAGCCTCTGCCTTCAGCTCAGGTCATGGTCTCAGGGTCTTGGGATCAGGGTCCTGGGATCGAGCCCCACATCGGGCTCTCTGCTCAGCGGGGAGCCTACTTCCCCCACCCCGCCACCCCCGCCTGCCTCTCTGCCTACTTGTGATCTCTGTCTGTCAAATAAATAAATAATATCTTTTAAAAAATAAAATAAAATAATGCTTAGTACATCCATACAATGGAATGTCATGCAGCAGTAAAAAGAGATGAGCTGTAAAACCTCATATACACACACACGGAAGAACTTTTTTTAATAAAGATTATATTTATTTATTAGAGAGAGAGAGCGCAAGCAGGTGGAGGGAGAGGGAGAAACAGACTCTCCACTGAGCAGGGAACCTAATGCAGAGCTGATCCCAGGACCCTGAGATCATGACAGAGCCGAGGGCAGACACTTAACTAACTGAGCCACTCTGGTCCCCCAGGGAAGAACATTTTTTTTTTAAGATTTTATTTATTTAATTATTTGACAGAGAGAGACACAAGCAGGGGAAGTGGGAGAACACAAGCAGGGGGAGAAAGGGAACACAAGCAGGATGAGTGGGAGAGGGAGAAGCAGGCCTCCTGCTGAGCAGGGAGCCCAGTGCAGCACAACCCCAGGACCCTGGAACTGTCAACCTGAGCCAAAGGCAGATGCCTAATGACTGAGCCACCCAGGTGCCCCAGGGAAGAACTTTAAATTTTCACTTAGCATATTGCTAAATGAAAGAAGCCAATCTGAAAAGGCATATACTATAAGACATTCTGGAAAAGGCAAAACAGTAAAGACAGTAAAAAAATCAGTGGTTGCCAGGGGTTTGGGGAGAGGTGGAGAGAGAGATGAAGCAGTAGAGCACACGAGATTTTTAGGGCAGTGCAATTATTCTGTGTGATGCTGTCATGGTGGATTCATTAAAATATGCATGTTTCAAAACCCATAGAACTGTATAATGCAGAATGAATTCTAGTGTAAACTACAGACTTTAGTTCATAATAACATATCAATATTGGATCAGCGATTGTAATAAATGTACTACACTAATGTGAGATGTTTGTTAATAGAGGAAACCAGGGTAGAAAGGAGGGAGAGAGAGTATATGGGAACTTCCTGTACTTCTGCTTAATTTTTCTCTAAACCTAATACTGCTCTAAAAAAAGAGTATTAGGCAGGGCACCTGGGTGGCTCAGTGGGTTAAGCCTCTGCCTTCAGCTCAGGTCATGATCTCAGGTCCTGGGATCGAGCTCTGCATCGGACTCTACTCAGCAGGGAGCCCGCTTCCTCCTCTCTCTCTGCCTGCCTCTCTGCCTGCTTGTGATCTCTCTGTCAAATAAATACATAAAATCTTAAAAAAAAAAAAAGTATTAGGCACCTGGGTGTCTCAGTCGGTTAGGCATCTGCCTTCAGCTCAGGTGGTGATCCCAGGGTCCTGGGGTTGAATCCCACGTCAGGCTCCCTGCTCAGTGGGGAGTCTCTTTCTCCCTCTCCCACTCTGCCTGCTTGTGCTCTCTCTCTCTCTCTCTCTGTGTCAAATGAATGAATAAAATCTTTAAAAATAAAATTTAAAAAAATAGAGAGTATTAATTTAAAATAAAATATGTAGTTAAAATAAATAAAATAGTAAAATAACCCTTAGCCCATTAAACAGAAATAACCACTAATAATAAATTTTTATATTTTATTTTTATTCATATATTTTTAAAAAGCACTTAGAACTATTCTTGCATTACCCTCTAGCCATTTTCTGTCTCCACCAGTCCAAAATACTATCAACCATATGTCAGACTTTGAGTAAATGCTAAAGGTTGGAGAAAAACAAAAGAGACATGTTCCCTACCTTCAAAGAGTTGGCAGACTGGAGGAGGAGCCATATAAGTAAAAAGGCAATTATAGAGGTCTCTAACTCCTCACCTTTCTTTCATTCTTCAATCTACTCTCTGTAGTCAGACTCTGTCCTAGCATATCCACTGAAACTATCCTAGCCAAGGTCACTAGTTGACTACCTTGCTGTTAAATCCTTACCCAACTTCTCTGCAGATTTTAACACTTCATCTCCACTTTTTCTTAAAGTTCCTGTCTATTGGCTTCTGTTAAATAACTCTCTTCTTGTTTTTTCTTCCTGTCTAATTGCTTTTTCTCATCAACTTGGCCATCGGGGCTGATGTTCTCCAAGGCTCTCTTACTGAACCTCTTCCCCATCTGTATAGTTTCCCTGAATAATCTCATGTATTTACATGGCTTTGACTACCACCTACTTATTGATGACCTCCAAATCCATCTATCTAAGGAATCCTTTGTTGCTCCCTCCTACCCATGGCCATGACTAAAGATATTTTATAGAAACTCTCTATAGCTATGTCATAGTGTCTTAAGGAGTTTACTCGGTTACTACCTCTACCCTCCATTTTGAATCCCCTTCCTCTCACCTGATATCCCCAGTTTCCATCCTTTTGTGTAGTACCTGGATTTGCCTTTCCACCTTATTTAACTGGTTCTTTGGCTTACAGTTTCAGAATTTTCCATGAATTCTGCCTCTCAGATCATGCTGTACTGCAGCTCCAAGACTGCCCTGTATCACTCCTTTATCCAGCCAGGTCTAATGTTCTCCAACATTACTTGTCTGGAAGGGGGGATTAGAAACTAGCTTAGATCTCAACCCAAGCTTCAAACTATATATGCCTGCTTTCATTACTACCTGTAAATCCTTCAAGTATCTCCAGTTCGGCCTGTAAAAAATATCCTCCTGACAGGTATCTCAGTGAATGGTCTTATCATCTATTCAGGGACCCAATTAGGAAATATAAAATTATTTTTAACTCTTTCCCTCTGTCACCCCTCATATCATGTATCAGTTCTAGCTCCCTATATTTTCAAACTATTCTCTTAATTTAATATTTATTGTTACTACATCATTTCTCTTGTGAATTACTCAATGGCCTCCTAACTGGTCTCCCTGCTTCACATCTTGTTAGTTCCAGTATATTCTCCTGCTGCTATCAGAAGACTTTCTCTGACACAAATCTAATTATATCATTTCCAGAAAAAAATTGCTACGACTCCCTATTGCATATAAGATGGTAATGCAGGATCTACCTCATGCCTACCCTCCAACTTTTCTCTCATCACTTACCAGCCTCCAGTTTCAAAGAGTGTGCCGGTGTAAGATCCCAGTTCTAGAAAAGCCTCAGGAGATGCTACATAGTGAATTATCTTAAATTACTGAACCCACAAACTTCCCAGAGCTCACAGTTCTGTGGTTGGCCAGGACTGGGGCTTGGTTCTGGACCTGACCATACTTCCTCACTGCTCTGACAAAACTCCTTCTAGATGGTATATAGGAAAGAGCACCTGGGTAGTTCAGTCAGTTAAGCATCTGCCTTTGGCTCAGGTCATGATCCCAGAGTCCCAAGATCAAGCCCTGAGTTGGGCTCTCCACTCAGCAGGGAGTCTGCTTTCCCTCTCTCCCTGCTCCTTCTCTCTAGCCACCTGTGTGGTTAGATAGAAGTAGTGCAACACAGTGATATCACTGTACTTAGGGCTAAGTTCCCTTCCCAGCCCCCAAAATCAGACAGAGGGCATCCAGAGACAAAATTTTTCCAGATACCATTTACTATTATGGAGCAGTTACCCACCCCCATTTCCTCAGGTTTGATTACCATGGATTTGGGACTTGGAAGAATAGAGCCTAAAGATGGCCATTGATCATTCAGGGTAGCTGGGGAAGAAAGGGGACAAGAAGGGTCTGCCAACCAGCCCTCAGTTTTTCTCCGGTGGGATGGATCTTTTCTGGCCCAAGGGAATGGATGGTCCAAGTCAGAGCTAGAAAGGCCTTAGAAACCAGCACAGTGTCTCCTCCATTTATCTTGATTTTCTCTTCCCATCCTCCTGCTAAGAGTTCTCATCCCATTCCAGAAGTTGTCCCCAAACAGACCTTCTGTAAAGTGTCAGGCTGCCACTGAGAAGTTTGTTCTGGCTTGTATGTTCTAGGAAACAGAAAAGGTCGACTTCTCCTACAACAAACTGGCTGATCCTAAGTTTTCATTTTATGACAATACTTTGGTGGAAGCCATGAAAAAGGGAGATCACTGGGTGCACTTGTTTTTCCTCTCACTCTCATTGTGTCACACTGTGATGTCAGAAGAGAAAGTGGAAGGTGAGGAGAGGCCTGAGGATTCATTGACAGAGAATATGTCATAGAATCTAGGATGGCTACAGGTGGGCTTGGTTTGATATCATTTGTAATGGCTTAATCTAAGAGCTTTCTAATAGGCAGTGTTGTCCAGCAATGGGATGGATAGGCAACTAGTGAGCTTCTAGTCACTGGATATATTCAAGTAGAAGACAACCTCTTAGTCATATAGAAGATTCAGTCATTGGATAGGATTCAAACTTGATGCTTCTGACCTTGATTTTCAGCGGTGTTCTGTCGCAGAGTCTACTTGAATTGTCCCCAAGATCAGTCCCATTATCTCTGACAAGACTTCCTGAAGGATGAGTTGAGTTGTCTTGTTGCTTCACAATTTCACAGTATCCCCACATATCCTAGTTTCTTTAGTAATCAAATATGACTACGACATCCATGAATTTACTTAAACCTCTTTTAGAAACAATGAATGAAAAATGACTGATTAAAAATTAAGAAGGCTTTTGGGGTGTTTGGGTGGCTCAGTCGGTTGAGCATCTGACCTTGGTCTCGGCTCCAGTATTGATCTCAGGTTGTGGGTTCAGGCCCCACACTGGGTTCTACCCTGGGCATGGAGACTACTTAAAATTTAAAAAAATGAGAAGGCTTTTTTTTTTTTTTTGGTAACAAACAAGTATTTAGGTAACCAAATCAATCATATCCTTTAAAATCAATGTACCTGGGGTGCCTGGGTGGCTCATTCATTAAGCATCTGCCTTTAGCTCAGGTCATGATCCCAGGGTCCTGGGATCGAGCCCCACATCAGGCTCCCTAATTCATGGGAAGCCTGCTGCTTCCTCTCCCACTCCTCCTGCTTGTGTTCCCTCTCTCACTGTGTCTCTCTCTGTCAAATAAATAAAATCTTTAAAAACTAAATAGATAAATAAAATCAATGTACCTTTAACATAATACTACCCTTAGGACCACCTTATATTTGTGTATCACTTTATAGTTTTACAAATTGCTTGCATGTTTTTTAAAGATTTTTTAAAATGTATTCATTTGAGAGAGAGAGAGTGAGAGCTTGAGCAGTGGGGAGAGTCAGAGGGAGAAGGAGAAGCAGATTCCCTGTTGAGCAGGGAAGCCAGACACAAGGCTCCATCCTAAGACCCCAAGATCACAAATAGAGCCAAAGACAGCCACTTAACTGACTGAGCCACCCAGGTGCCCCAAATTGCTTACATTAATATTACCTCCCACAATCTTCACAACAGTCCTCTTAAGTAAGCAGAAAAAGAAAAAGGAACCCAGTTTTATAGAGAGGGAAACTGGAGCTAAAAGAGATTAAATGACTTGCCTAAAATCCTGTAGTTAAGAAGGCAGAGATAAGAACCCAAATCTCAGGGGTGCCTGGGTGGCTAAGTCCTTAAGCATCAGCTTTCAGCTCAGGTCATGATCCCAGGGTCCTGGGATGGAGCCCCACATCGAGCCCCACATGGGGCTCCCTGTTCTGCAGGAGGCCTGCTTCTCCCTCTCCTACTCTCCCTGCTTGTGTTCCCTCTCTCACTGTCTCTCTCTGTGTCAAATAAATAAAATCTTAAAAAAAAAAAAAAAAAAACCCAAATCCCAGGCAACCCTCTCGGGTCCCCTCCCTCTTCAGGAGCTTTGTGTTCTCAATAAACTTTGCTTTGCTGCCCACCACAAAAATTTAAAAATAAAAACAACAATTTAAAAAAAAAAAAAAAAGAACTCAAATCTCATGCCATGAGATCTTGTCCCACCACGGGTATCTCCAGACCTGACATTCTACCAAGTTGCTATTACTTGAAGCATGCCTTTTTTTTTTTTTTTAAGATTTTATTTATTTATTTGACAGAGAGAGATCACAAGTAGATGGAGAGGCAGGCAGAGAGAGAGAGAGAGGGAAGCAGGCTCCCTGCTGAGCAGAGAGCCCGATGCGGGACCCTGAGATCATGACCTGAGCCAAAGGCAGAGGCTTAACCCACTGAGCCACCTGGGCACCCCTCAAGCATTTTGTTATTAATTTTCTGAAGTGTTTCTTCACAATCTAGGAAAATATTTTTTCAACAATGGACACTGAAAACCATGAGAGAAATTACCTTACAATGGCAAAATGGGAAAGAATAAATTTTATTTTACTCCGCTGTAAAAAATTTCAAGAGGAGTGGGGCGCCTGGGTGCCTCAGTTGTTAAGCGTCTGCCTTCAGCTCAGGTCATGATCCAAGGGATTGAGCCCCGTGTTGGGCTTCCTGCCCAGACGGAAGCCTGCTTCTCTGTCTCCCACTCTTCCTGCTTGTATTCCCTCTCTCACTGTATCTCTCTCTGTCAAATAAATAAAATCTTTTAAAAAATATTCAAGAGGAGTTACAGAAATGTCTTGAGTCATATAAGATTGACAGACTGGTTCAGCAGAGTGAATCATTAAGCTTCCCAGGGTGAGAGTTTTAAAGGTGACAATACTCATTTATATATATATATATATACATGTATATATATATAAATTGTTTGTTAAATTATCAGTCTTATTATCATCAATCCTATTATCCTGTTCTATATATCCTATCCTTATTGTCCTATCTTATCAAGGTATAGCCAGTCTTACGTAGGAGCAGTGTATGCAGAACAACCTGCATGAAATTTACCTAGGAGATTTGTTAAAAATTCAATTTCCTGAGTCCTCCTCTCATATTTTGTGACTCTGGATTCAGTAAGTTTGAGTAGAGCCCAGGAACCTGCTTTTTTTTTTCTTGCTTTTTTTTTTTTTTTTAGATTTTTATTTATTTATTTGACAGAGATCACAAGTAGGCAGAGAGGCAGGCAGAGAGAGAGAGAGGAGGAAGTAGGCTCCCTACTGAGCAGAGAGCCAGATGTGGGGCTCAATCCCAGGACTCTGGGATCATGATCGGAGCCAAAGGCAGAGGCTTTAACCCACTGAGCCACCCAGGCGCCCCAGGAACCTGCATTTTAACAAGCCCCCTGACCCATCTTTACCCACTAAAATCAGAGAGTGAACTATGTTTTGTTTGTTCATGTATATTGCATGTACCATGTGCCTCTATAATACTAACTCAAGTCTGTGAAATAAGTTGAAAATATTGGAAAGGGGAAAAAAAAAAACTGACCTGTATGCAGCCTAGCTTTTTAGAGCTAACTTGTAAGGAAGTTTGAAGAAAAATGTTCCCTCCTGGGCTCTATCTTTATGTAAGCCCCTTGGTGTCACTTCTGGGTTGACTTCAGCTGCACATCTCTGTGGGCTCTGGTTGCCCTCTTCTCTCCTGCCAGGTAAGCTGGTGTACCAGGCTCAGTCCCCAGATGAAGGTGCCCTCGTCACTGCTGCCAGGAACTTTGGCTTCGTATTCCATTCCCGCACATCTGAGACGATCATGGTAGTTGAAATGGGTGAGACCAAAGTCTACCAACTGCTGGCTATTTTGGACTTCAGCAATGTGCGCAAGAGGATGTCTGTTATTGGTAGGTGCCCCTCCTACTCAGTCCTCTCCCTATATTTGTCTTTCATACACATTCACACATTGACTTTCTCTTTTATATACACACAAATGTTTTCTCCTACTCAAATGCCTTCTTAAAGGTACCATGCCTCAAACACAAACACATAGCCATTCCTACTTTCTCCTTCACATATCCTATATATTTTCTCTTTGAGAGCTTGCTACCATATACCTCTTTAGTGTTCCTGGATAGTGGCCTGTCTGAAACCTCAAAGCCAAGATGAGAATAGAGAATAAACCCATAAGAGATAGGGGGAGACAATATAAGGGAAATTCATACTATCATACTCTCAAATAGTTTGAGCCTCAGACTGAAGAGGAAGAGGGTCATTCTTCATTCTTGGTCCTTACTAGGTATGGGCTTCGGTCTGGAACTTGTACTTGGGAAGCTAAATGTGATTCTGCATCAGAGTCTTCCAAGATGGCATTGAACCCATAGAAGAACTGGTTGCATAACTTCTCTTTCCACTCGCACCAGCCTTTACGACTGCAACATTTATCCTCTGTAACCACTCAATGAGTGCTTATCCCCCAAAAGAATCAGAAACAAATGTCATGGGAACAGCCTCATGCTATCCCTCAGTGGCCCAGACAAGTTCTTGTAACAATGGGCCTATATGGTTACTCTTTTAATTTGTTTGCCCTTAGTGAGGACACCTGAAGATCGAGTAATGTTATTCTGCAAGGGTGCAGACACCATTCTCTGTCAGCTGCTCCATCCATCCTGTAGATCCCTCAGAGATGTGACCATGGAACATTTAGATGTAAGTGTTTAGGTTACAGGGGAGGGAAGCTGTGGGTGGTTCTTTGTACATGGATTATGCATCCACATATATTGTGTCCGTGTGTTTCTCTATGGATGTATTTTAGTATCTGTGTCTCTATGTCTCTATCTATTGGAAGAATAAAGACTACTTCATTGTATGGCATTCCTAACGACTACATTGCCAACTTCTGTGTCAAGAAGTTAGATGGCACAAAGGCATGATGAGAATTGTATCTGTGGGGACACTTACTACAATCAAAATGGTTCTCTCTGTGATTCCTGGCTCAAGAGGTACCATGGTCAGACCTAGAATTTACTTCAGAATTGGGCCTGCTGGTACAGGAGGCGCTACCTCACCAGCCATGGCAGCTTTGAAGGTATAGAGGAAAAGGCGCCAGGCTTGGGCTATTTAGGGGACTATTGTTTGTTACCATTCTCTGTTACCACACGATTAGACTCCCCAGGGGTACCTTCCCCCTTGCCTATCCCATCCTCCTTCCACCCTCTAGGATTTGAGATGGATCTGAAAGAGAATGGCTCCAGCCTTCTGGCACTGGAAAGGAAAACCAAATCTATATTCTCCAAGATTTCTACTCATAAACCTAGATATATAAAGGGTTGAGGGAATAGAAAAGAGATGGGATGGGAGAGGGGCAGATCAGAAAAAAAAATTTTTTAAGAGGAAATAGATTGAAGAAAATGCTCTTTTATTAAGCCACTTTGGTTTGACCCACGTTAACACATAATCAGAAGTCAGAGAACAGATAGTCAATAAGCACACGAAAAGATACTTAGTTTCATTAGCTTTTAGGAAAATGCAAATCAAAAACCTCAAGATACTACTTCACACCACCAGGACAGCTAGATGATCAGATAATAATAAGTAATGGCAAGGTATAGAGAAATTGTAACCTTCATACATTGCTGATGGAAATGTGAAATGATGCAGTCATTCTCATGGACTAAGCCACCCAGGCACCCCGTAATGCAGTCATTTTAGAAAACAGTTTGGCAGTTCCTGAAAAAGTTAAGGGTAGAGTTATCATATGACCCAGCAATTTCACTCCTAGGTATATTCCCACAAGAAATGAAAATAAACATCCGCACAAAAACTTGTACACATAGTTTATAGCAGCATTATCTATAATTGTGAAAAAGTAGCAACGGCCCAAATGTCCATCATGAATGGCATGGATGAATAGATAAATATCATGTGGTATATCTAAACAACAAATATTATTCAGTCCCACAAAGGAACAACATACTGATACATGCAGATGAACCTTGAAAACATTATGTTAAGTGAAAGAAGCTAGTCACAAAAGGCCACATAATGTATAATTTCATTTATATGAAATATCCAGAATAAACAAATCTACAGAAACAAGTAGATTAGTGGTTGCCAAGGGCTGGGGGAAAAGAGAATGGGAATGACAGCTAATGGGTACAGGATTTCCTTTGGGAGTGACGAAAATGTTCTGGAATTAGATAGTAAAGGATGCACAACTGTATGAGTGTAATTTTTTTAACCACTGATTTGTATACTTTAAAAAGTATGAATTTTATGATCTATACATTATATTTCAGGTTTTTAAAAAAGTTGGTGAAGTATCCAACATAGGACAGTTCTTATGTCCTATACGGGTTCCCAGTATTTTCTATGGGCTAGTTTGAAAAACTTATCTTTTAACCTTCCAGAACACGTGAATTGGGGTATCTTCTCAGAGAGCATTTCCACAGGCTGGCTCCAAAGTGGGTCATAAAACTGTTTCAGATATTTTGACCTGCGTCCTTCTACCCACCTTTACAGACACCCATAATGGAGCCTGACTACACTACAATCTGTTAACCACAGATGAGAAACTTGTAAGAGTGAAGCTTATACTCAGAAGTCAAGATTCAAAACCTCTTTTTTTAAAAAAGATTTTATTTATTTATTTGAGAGAGCACAAGCAGGGGGAGGGACAGAGGGAAGGGAGAAGCCGACTCCCCACTGAGTACAGAGCCCAAGAAGGGGCTCCATCCCAGGACTCTGCGATTATGACCCAAGCTAAAGGCAGACCCTTAACCGACTGAGCCACCCAGGTGCCCCAAGATTCAAAAACTCTTACAAAAACACAGCTCCAGGCCCTCTAAGACAGGAATCAGCAAATGGCTCATATAAAAACAAGCAACAGTCAGGATTTGCCCACCACATTAGAAAAGAAAAAAAAAAACACAAGTAAGAGGTAAGTAAGAAATAACTTCAATGCAGACTACTAAATTATTTGTTGAATGAATTAAGGATCTGTCAGCGTGTTAAACCTCGTTTAGTATCCTATGCAAGATCAGTTTCTGCTATATCTCTTCCTTCTAAGAAGTCTTTGACATCTTCTCTCAGGCTTCTCTTTGTAGCTTCTTCTGCTAACAGCACAGAGGTTTAAGATATGGGATTCCATACATACATTGTTTTATGCTCATTTCACCTGACAGCTAAAGTCAAACACTCAGGAGTTTCACAGGCAACTAAGAGCAGAATATCAGTATAATAAAATTATTTTTCTCTTTGCTCTTATAATGCCAAAGTGAATTATTTTGAAGTTTACTATAACAGTGATCATGGAGAATTTTTATTCATGTGCAATTCTCAGGAAATAAAATCTAACTCACCCTCAGTTGGATGTGAGTTCTCCCCTAAACTACCCACACTCTCACCTGGCTCTCCTTATGACCCAGAGTATACTTTGCAAGATAGGATATAATATAGTTTACAAGATAGGATATACTGGTGGCCATAGAGCAAAAAGATGCTAACTCACCCAGAAACCATTTCTGCAGTGCCTCGTCAACACGGCTGGCTGTGGCTAATCAACTGAGTCAGCCAATCAGCTGTAGAATAATATACAAGTGTGTGTGTGCTTTTTGAGGGGCCTGTTGATACTTGAAGGAAGGCAGGGAAAGAGGAAAATAAAATGAATGTATGGGGCGCCTGGGTGGCTTAGTCAATTAGGCATCTGCCTTCAGCTCAGGTCATGATCCTCAAGTCTTGATCAGGCTCCCTGGTTGGGGGTGGGGGGGGGGGGGGGGCCTGCTTTTCCCTCCCCACTCCCCCGGCTTGTGCACTCTCTCTCTCTCTCAAATAAATAAATAAATAAATTTTTTAAGATTTTATTTATTCACTTGACAGAATCACAAGTAGGCAGAGAAAGAAAGGAGGAAGCAGGCTCCCTGCTGAGCAGAGAGCCCGATGCGGGGCTCGATTCCAGGACCCTGAGATCATGACCTGAGCCAAAGGCAGAGGCTTAACCCACTGAGTCACCCAGGCGCCCCAATAAAATCTTTTTTTAAAAAATGAACATATGGGGCGCCTGGGTGGCTCAGTGGGTTGAAGCCTCTGCCTTCAGCTCGGGTCGTGATCTCAGGGTCCTGGGATCGAGCCCCGCATCGGGCTCTCTGCTCGGCGGGGGGCCTGCTTCCTCCTCTCTCTCTGCCTGCCTCTCTGTCTACTTGTGATTTCTGTCAAATAAATAAATAAAATCTTTAAAAAAAAATGAACATATGCTTATAAAAATAGTAAGTCCTTTGATTATATTTTATAACAACTCCTTTTACTTTAGTATTCTATTCTCATATTACAGACATCATTATCCTCTCTGTAGGCAGTGAATTACTATCCCAATTTTACAACAAAAAAAAATCTAGAAGGCTTAATTTTTCCCAGGGTCACACAGGAAATTATCTAACTACAGGCAAAAGCTAGAACTCTCTATATTTCAGAAGTACTTTCAAAACTTTGCCCCCAGTTATGCTGGCACCACCTTTAAGACATTATTCTGAGAAAGCTCAACAGTTGTTTTGTGGTTAGGCTGGGTACTACCAGCCCCATGGTACTAATCATTATATCCTATTTTGCAGGCAGATGGGCAGTGAGGTCAGTTGGCCTCTTCCTAAACTCAGCCCTCACCCAGCCCAGGCCTACTCAGTGCACACACATGTCTTCCAGGATTTTGCCTTTGAAGGTCTCCGCACCCTCATGGTGGCCTACCGAGAAGTGGATAATGCCTTCTACCAGGCCTGGAGCAAGAAGCACAGTGAAGCCTGCCTGTCTTTGGAAAATCGGGAAGATAAAATGTCAGATGTCTATGGAGAGATGGAAAAAGACTTGATGGTTAGTGTGAAGAAGCCAGGGACAGATAGGGGGCAGCACTGGGGGTGGCTGAGCAAGGTCTCTAAGAGTGGCTTCCAGCAAATCAATAGGTTCAGGTGCTTTGGTTACGGGATACTGGAATCCAGGCTGATTCAGAATGTCCTGGATCTTTGAAATCAATAAATAATGGGGGGGTGAGGAGATGGAATGCACTATTTGTAAATTTTATCCCAAAGCTACTCACAGAAGCTAAGTAATCTGGGAGAAATGAGGATCTGAATAATGCATAGATTAGATAATCCAGAACTAACTGATGAAAATATTCACTCATTCATTCAACATATTTACTAAGCGCCTCCTATGTGCCAGGAATGTTTTAAGCCCTGAGCACATAGCAGCAGACAAAAACAGACAAAAATAACATATATAGATGTTAAATAATGAAGTACTATGGGAGAAAATAAAGCCAGGGAGATAGCTAGGGAATATCAGCATACACATGTATGTTTTGGAGAGGGCAGAGTATAGTTACTACTTTATATAGGGTACTTTGAGCAGAAACCTGAAGAAGGTGGCGAGCCAAGCAGATCTCTGGGGGAATTAGCTTTCCAAATAGAGGGAATGGCATAAGTGAAAGCCCTGAAACAGGAGTAGGCCTAACTTGTTAGTTGAACAGCAAGTCAGCTAGTGGGGCTGATAAAGTATAAGTGAGGAGGAGAGAATAAAGGTCATGAGACAGAGAAGTAGTAGAGTGCCCTCATAAGCCAGCATAAGTACTCACAATGAGATATGGAAAGCCATTGAAGAATTCAGTGAAAGAAGTGATGTGATAGCTTAAAAAAAATTATTTATTTATTTGAGAGAGAGAGAATAAGTATGAGCAGGGGGAGGTGCAGAGGGAAAGGGACAAGCAGACTGCAATGAGTGCAGAGCCAGATGTAGGGCTCAATTCCAGGACCCTGACATCACAACCTGAGTCAAAAAGAAAAAGGTTTTGACCAGACTGACACAGGCTGGTTCTTCTAAAAACAGAAATTTCTAATACCAGTTGGGAAAACAGAAATCCCAGAGGTCATACATCTCCTTCCATCATCAGTTCAGCAGTTAGTAGTTCTAGTCTGTCCTTCTGGAGGCCTAAAAGAAATAAGCCAATTGTTTGTCCATCTGTCAGTTCCTCAGACTGAGTCCTGGTGCTCATCCCTCTGGTCAACACTGGAAAGCCGGGAAGTGTGCTCTGAAGCAAAAGAGCAGTGAAAGTGTGTTGAGAAACAGATGGTTTAGAAGTGGCACACAGCTTCATGTATGACTTGGGCAAGTCTTTTCCCTCTTTGATCCCTGACATTCTGTGTCTCAATTTGATTTATGTGGTTGAAAACCTGCATCTGTTGTGAGGCAGAGGGTGCTGAATTTTATAACATTTGGATCCTTATGTCAGGACAGAGCCAGCTTGCTAACGAGGATGATGAGGTGCCAGTTGAGTTGTTGGGTAGCACTAAATGCTGTGACATTCTCCCTCCTTCTCACTCACTGTTCTCTCTGTCCGAAGCTGTTAGGGGCCACAGCCATAGAAGACAAGCTCCAGGATGGTGTACCTGAGACAATCACTATCCTGAACAAAGCCAAAATTAAGATATGGGTCTTAACTGGAGATAAGCAAGGTAAAGGGGAGCTCCTCACTTCACCAGTTCTCTTCCCTGTCCACCTTAGCCATTTCTTTTATTTTGCATTTTCTTTTTATCTTAGCCATTTATTTGACAAATACCTTATAGTCCAGGTCAAGTCCTTACAGGACACCTTCACTCCTAGTTTTGTACACAGTTTTCTAAGAGTATATATTTTTTTTTTAAGATTTTATTTATTTATTTGACAGAGAGAGATCACAAGTAGATGGAGAGGCAGGCAGAGAGAGAGAGAGAGAGAGGGAAGCAGGTTCCCTGCTGAGCAGAGAGCCCGACGTGGGACTCGATCCCAGGACCCTGAGATCATGACCTGAGCCGAAGGCAGCGGCTTAACCCACTGAGCCACCCAGGCGCCCTCTAAGAGTATATTTTATGCTGGATCCTGTGTTAGGCAGTGAGGACACGGAGATGATTCAGTCAGACATGACCCCTGTCATCCAGGAACCCACAAGCTAAAAACTTTGGAATTACTTTGGAATATACCCTCTCTGTTGTCCCAAAGATTCATTGTCTCAGCATGTCCCACCAAGGGTTCTGAAGATCCCCTTTTGACTGTGCCACCACCGTAGTTCAGCCTTTGTCCCCTTTGATTGTACGTCTACAAAAAAACTTCTGATCTCTGTCTCTTGTCCTTATTGATTTCAGTATAGCCTATATACAACCATCAGCTTGATCTTACTAAAATATACTACTTTTATATGCTATTCCTCTGCTCAGATACCTTCAGAAACTCTATGTAGTAAAGTCAGACTCCACTGTACAGCCTTCAAGATCTTGATAATCTGTTGCTACCTACATATACTTATCTCCATCCTGATGTGACCATTATTTTTAGTATGTCCCAAACAATCCAGTTCCTACTCTAGGCCTCTGTTTGGGTTGTTTCCCTGTTTGAAATGGTTTTTTTTCTGACCCCTAAATAAGTCTTACTCGTTCTTCAAAGTCTTTTCCCAAGAAAGTTTCTATGACCTTACAATCTCTCCTCTGAATTTTTTTAAAAGATTTTATTTATTTATTTGACAGAGAGAGAGATCACAAGTAGGCAGAGAGTCAGGCAGAGAGAGAGGGGGAAGCAGGCTCCCCACTGAGCAGAGAGCCTGATGCGGGGCTCAATCCCAGGACACTGAGATCATGACCTGAGCCCAAGGCAGCGGTTTAATCCACTGAGCCACCCAGGCACCCCTCTCCTCTGAATTTTGATACCATTGCAGCGAGGGCTCGCTATTAAATTTTCGTAAATTGTTTTCCTTAGTATGAATTTATTCCAAATTCCAGAGTTCTTGATGTAAAGACCACAACCAAAACAGTTCCCCATAAACTCTGGCATAAAAGCAGGCATAGGGAAATACATCCTGTTTGGAAAAGTGGATGCAGACTGGAATTGTTTTAGGAAATAAGGGAAGGCCCCGTTGGAAGGTTAAGCCAGAATGGTGCTGGCTTCAGCGGCACATATGTGAAAATTGGAATAAAATAGAGAAGGTTAGCATGGCCCCTGCACAAGAATGACAGGCAAATTCATGAAGTGTTCCTTGTTAAAAAATGAAACAAAAAGAAAGACTAAGCCAGAATGATCCTACTTATTGATAAGTAACTCACAAGTTCTGTACTAGGCTGAGTGTCTCCTGTGTGTTTGAATATGGTCTCCACTGACTCATGAAAAATATACTTTGACTGCCTCCATGGCAAATGTGGACAAATGGGCTCTGCTGCCCACCATTAGTGCTTATGTACATATATACTTTTGTAAAGACCCTGTCCCAGCCAAAATGTGGCTAGTGTTCCCCTCTTCCCTGCAGAGACTGCTGTGAACATTGCCTATGCCTGTAACATATTTGAGGAAGAAATGGATGGGATATTCATCGTGGAAGGCAAGAATGATGAGACTGTTCGGCAAGAACTCAGGTACAGATGGGAGAACTGCCACAGCTCTTCACTTAGTATGACTCCCACACTGTCAGAAGGAACAAAGAAGATATGGAGAAGAGGGAAAAAAAAAAACCTAAAATACTTGAGATAATTTTGTGAAGAAGCTTTAGGGCTCAAGGAGTTGGAGAAGTGTGGTGTGTGGATGGTCAGGGACCTGAGACAATGGCAGTTCTCGGGAGGCAGTTGAGTTTGGCTGGTGCTTTATAGAGGCTGTGTACCTACTTTGCCCACTTTCATTCTAAGACACTTTCACTTTCCTAAGCTCTGGGGCTTTCAGTCAGACATTAACCACTAGTCTTGGCTTTCAGGTTGGCAAGGAACAAGATGAAACCTGAGTCTCTCCTGGAATCAGATCCAGTAAACACCTACCTGAACACGAAGCCCCAAATGCCCTTCAGAATACCCGAGGAGGTGCCCAATGGCAACTATGGCTTGATCATCAATGGCTACAGTCTGGTGGGCAACACAGAGCTACAACTCTTTCTCTTCTCCCAAGGAATTTTTTTTCCTAGGTCCAGCCTGCTTCAGGGAAATTTTAAGACCCCTTCTCTGGTTCACGAGTCACCTTTTTCCCCTCTCTTCTGGTGCCCTTTCCTAACAGACACCTTTCCCTATCTTTCTCTAGGCAGAAATAATGAGGAAAGAGAAGCCAAGGACATGTTCCTTCCTTATCCAATTTCTTCACTACTGATGCAGCTTATCAGTTAGAGGAAGTGGGGAGCAAACAGAACCAGGTCCTCTAAAAAGTCGCTTGGCCTTTATAGCCCAGTTAACTGATTTGACCCAGTGAGAAAGGCTGACCAGTTTCCCATTGGAGGCTGGGTCAGATGTGAGGATGCCTAAAAGTGACTTGGGGACTTAGCCTCCCTCGGGAGTGGAGCACCTGGAAGCCACTATGCCTGACCTTTGTAGTACAGGAGAGTATGGCTACGGGGAAGGGCCTAGGAAGATCTTGTTCTGAGAGCCTTTTTGGGCAACCTGAAATGTGGGTGTGTCCTGGTACTGCAGGCCTATGCTCTAGAAGGGAACCTGGAGTTGGAACTGCTGCGAACAGTGTGCATGTGCAAGGGAGTGATCTGCTGCCGGATGACACCCCTTCAGAAGGCCCAGGTGGTAGAGCTGATGAAGAGGTACAAGAAGGTGGTGACACTGGCCATCGGGGATGGGGCCAATGACGTCAGCATGATCAAAGGCATGTGAGGGATGGGGCACCATAACCTCCAACCAAGGGCTTGCCCTTTCCTTCCTCCATAGGCAAAAACCAACCTGGGTGGCACTGTGTTTTGGATTCATACTCCTGCATATCATATATTTGTACATTTATAATGTTTTGCAACTTCATTCATGCTCCTCTATACCTGCATTCCCACTTATTTACACATGCATACATCAGTCCATATGCAGACATGCACACATTTAACCACTAGTCTTGGCTTCATGCACTTAACACATGTATACACAAATATGCCTGGCTTCCATAAGAACATATGCATATATTCACAGAATAGGCCATGGAACTACCATACCATCTTTCCAAGGTGGCATCAAAGCCTACAGAAAGAACCCCTGGGCAAGAGTCATAGTCTGTTCCCTTTTTGAAAGCTGTATGCCTGAGCAATGTTAAGCAGAAGACAAGACTGCTCAACCAGGGCATTAGCTATGAGGCACAATGTAGGGATCTCTTCTTCCCTGAGGCAGTGTTCGTTAGAACTTGTCCTGACTCACCTGGCTGGAGAAGAATAGCAGACTTACTGATGCTTTGAACCAATAGAAGCAAATGGCTGAAACTTATTTTAATTTCAGCTAATTTTCAGAAACTAATTTTAATTCCAGCAACTTGTGGTTCTGTCAAATATGGACAACATCTAGAGGTCCTCTAGCCCAACCACTCTCCCCATCTAGGAAACACTAGCAGACATTCTAGCTGTGGCTTTAATACCAGGAAGTGTTCTTGATAGCTTCCTCACTTTCTAGAATTTCTCTGGTTTTTAGGGCCTTAGAAATTTCAACTATTCCATTAAGCAATGCAATAGGTATATACAGAAGATGAATGAATTTACCCTACACTACAAGAGACTAATTAAAACTTTTAGGAACTTTAATCTTATTTTCCATCAAGTGTAATCCTTGTTTTATCTAGAAAAAGTCATGTTAGGCCTCTTGAAGAACTTGCTTCTCACTAACAAAGTAGGTACATCATTTATTTCCTCCTAACAGGTGGATTTTAGCTCTAGATAAACTTTGGTAATTAAATATTGTATTAGATTGACATCCATCCTGCATCTTTAATTGATGTAAGTGGCTTCAAGAGGTAACAAGAAATTTTTACGTCAGCATCTGGACAGCAGGAAAGACCCTAGATGGCTATAGTAGGTACAAAGACCATCTAGGAGGGCTTTCTAGTACAAGCCATGCCAGGCATTCCTGAGTGTTTTCCAATGTAAAATAAGGTGTTTATACAACATGATCTCAGCCTTTCTTTTACACTTCCCAACCTGGGAGCCCAGCAGACAAACTTTGTGGTTGAGAAGCTTATGGGATTTCTTTGCAGCTGCCCACATTGGGGTTGGCATCACTGGCCAGGAGGGAATGCAGGCCATGCTCAACAGTGACTACGCCATCTCCCAGTTCCGCTATCTTCAGCGTCTACTCTTGGTCCATGGCCGATGGTCCTATAATCGCATGTGCAAGTTTCTCAGCTACTTCTTTTACAAAAACTTTGCCTTCACCCTGATGCACTTCTGGTATGCCTTCTTCAGCGGGTTCTCTGCACAGGTAGGAGATCTGGTGACATTCCCCACTCTGGTCAGCTGGGTCTTTTCTACTCGCCCCCACTTCAGCCATCTCAGACCCTCTTTCTTTTCTAGAGACCAATGTATGACATTGCCATCCATCCATAAAGCTTCTCACATGGGGGCACTTGGGTTGCTCATTCAGTTAAGCATGAAGGTCCTCAACCATGCTGATCCCATCTAACCTTACATTTAACCTTAGATTTCCAAACCCTAACTTTTCTGGCTTGGCTTTGACTTGGACTTGATTCCTATCTCCAAAACTCTCCATAAGATATTTTCACCTTTTACCTGACATGGAGACCTAGTTTCCAAACAGATAGTATGTGGAAATTCTTGGATCTGGTAGTTTTTTTAGTATCCAAAGCAATCTTTATGGAACAGACTAAGCCTCAAGGGTCCTCTGAGTCTTGACAGATAGGTTAGTTATGGTGTTCACCTGTAGCCCCATTTCATGACACAGCTTCCCTTACTGGGTGCTTCCCCACCCTGACACCCCTTCTCCGTGCCCCAAACATATACTGTTGTTGCTCTAATGAATTAATTCCACATTTGAGTATAAAATCTCCCCCACAGTAATGGAAAGAAGTAGGATCTGGGTTTTTATATTCTATGAGGAATCCTTTTTCCTATGAGAAGTTTTTCAGGGTTCTCACATTCCTAAGAAAAACAACCTCAGGAATTATCTTGGGAAATCCCTACTACCTTTGTTGCCTTGGGCTCTGGGGGAAACAGATTGTTCAGCAGAAAGTAATAGACTTGTATACCCCCAATGGTGTAACAAAGTCATTCATAAGTGTATTCATATGTGTGTGTTTTGCTGACCTCTTGTGGCTAGTAAAGGAGCCCTCTCTGGGCCCCAAGGATGGAGCACCCGGCTAGGAAAGGGTTACTGAGTCTATTCTACTTACCACTGTTAGAAAGTATCCAGTGTTGTAGAAGCTACTGAATGTCATAAGTCAGATTAAAGAGCCCAGAGGCTTACATGCCTGAAAGTTCAGGGGTACAGCTAGCATTCCCTAGCAGGCACTCTGGATCTTTTCTGTGCATGGATGGGCAGTGCAGGTCATGGTAAGGTTGGTCCAAATCAGCCTTGTAGGGTTGGCCACAAACAAGCTTGATGTGGCCTTGCCCCAGCCTGGGACACAGAGTTCTGACTTCTGTAGGACCAAACAGAGATGGGGGTCAGCCTTCTCTGTCAGATTTCTGAAATCCAAATCCTGCCCTAGGTTAGTGTAGTGGTGGGTAGGTGGGGACCAGAAGGGACTCTTGAACCTGGGAGGTGGAGCTGGGACTTTGGAAAACAGAGGAATCTAAGAAATCTCCTTGGTATTCTCTTAGACAGTTTATGATACCTGGTTTATCACTTTCTACAACCTGGTCTACACCTCCCTCCCTGTCCTGAGCTTGAGTCTGTTTGACCAGGTAAGACCAGCGGCAAGCCTCTTAGTCAGGACTAAAGCCCCTGGGCCCTTGAGGAGTATTCCCAAGAGTGGGAAGGAGAAGAGCTGAGTTCTACAAAGTCAGTTGTAAATGGAATAATTTCTAGAGCAAGGAAGGGAGCTTATCACCTGGAGAGGTATCATGGGATAAAGTAAAGAATCTTCCTCCACAGAGAATAATCATCAGTTTTAGAAATCCAAGTTTTCTGTGTCAATTTTATTTTTGTAGAGAGAAACATAGTAATTGTGCTTTATAGTAAATTGAATGTGTATAAAAGGTAGTGAAAGGAAATAGAGTTATTAGGGCAAGACTAGGTAAAACAAGGAGCTTCAAGAAGTGAGAGACACATACAGAGATAAAGCAAGCCAATGCAGGATCTGGCAGGGTGGCCTAGTGAGAGTCCTGAAGGCCAAGCATGGGAATGTGAGTATGATATTTTGAGTCCTAAGGAGTCAGCCTAGGGGATATCATCTGTCCCTGTCAGAAATTTCCTGGGCATTGGGGGGTCCTAGTATCATACCTCTCTTTCCTCTTCTGTCCCAACTTCCTGTCTTGGGCACATTGAATAGAAAAGAAGCCTCCAAAGAGGAATAAAATAGCTGAAAGAGGACACCATGGCATCATGGTTTCCTGGTCTCCATCAGGGTAGGAAGTCAAATTCTCCACAAGGTAGCCGTTAGCCACAGAGTAACAAGAGGGATGAGCTGTGTCCAATGAAGCTTCAGTTGACTAATTCTAAGGATCCACAACCTCTCAAAAACAAGCTGCAAGCTTTGTTATCCAAAGTTTCTGGTTTAGGAGATGAAGATGATCCAGTGGCATTCACACAGAGAATCCTGTCACCTGAGTTCACCATTAGCTATGGAAATGGGAAGAGCATTACAGAACATGGATACCTCCATGTGACTAGCTGGTCCCCATTGGCTTCCCCCTCTCCTTTTATTGGCTTTTGACACAAAAATTACTCAACTAAAGGAACACTTAAAATTGGGGCCTCATGTACCAACTGCCCCCCATCCTAAGCTCCCATCCTCCCTTCCAGCTACCCCCAACCCTAGTTACTCCCCATTTCCCCTCTCCTAACTGTTTCCAGGTCCTTACCACAACCTTGACCTTCTCCTAGCTTTCTTCCACCGCCTAGATCCTTGCCTAGAGTGTAGGACTTCAGGAAGGGTCTATGGTCACTGCTCTGTTCTCTGGTTCCACTTCTCAAGTAATCCATGAGGAAGTTCCTAGGCAGGCTGTCAGCAGAGGCAGTGAGGGGAGAAACTTCTACTCCGATGGAGATGGGAACTTCTATGGAGAGACCCTGAACTTTCCTCCTTACCCTCTGGTACTTCCAGGATGTGAATGAAACATGGAGTCTACGCTTCCCAGAGCTGTATGGCCCAGGCCAGCACAACCTCTATTTCAACAAGAAGGAATTTGTGAAGTGTTTAGTGCGTGGGATCTATAGTTCCTTCGTGCTGTTCTTTATCCCTATGAGGACCATTCACAACTCAATAGACAGTGATGGGAAAGAGATCTCTGACTACCAGTCCTTCTCCCTGATAGTGCAGACTGCTTTGCTCTGCGTGGTCACAGTGCAGGTGTGGCTGGGGGAGGAGAAGAAGGGGTGGTGGAGGAGGATTGGGTGGGGAGCCTGTCTGGAAGAAAGGGAAAGAAGGAGGGAGGGAAAGTGGGAAGGGATATCCTCCACTATGGACTGGAGAAGGGAGGTGGCTGATATGTCCCAGGTTGTACAGTATTGCACATAAAAGAGTGCTTTTCAGATTGCCCTGGACACAACCTACTGGACGTTGATAAGCCACATCTTCACCTGGGGTAGCCTGGGTTTCTACTTTTGCATCTTATTCCTCCTGTACAGTGATGGCTTGTGCCTAATGTTCCCCAACGTCTTCCAATTCCTAGGTAAGGCTATGCCCACTCAGTGTGTGGCAAGTAGGTGGAGGGTAGGGTTGGGAAGTGTGAACAAAGTATATTTGTTTAATAAAGGCTCACTGACCAGGTATTACTATGTACTAGGCTTTGTGGATATAGATAGGAATAAGAAATGGCCTCTGCCCCAGAAGGACTCAAAATCTAGCCAGGGGAATACTTTACCCTATTAGATTTTCTAAGATATTTTCAAATTTCTTATCTAACTTAATCTTTGCAAGCATCCTATGAGGTAGAAATGGCAAGAATTATTAGCACCATTTTAGAGACTAAAGATTTTTAAAAATTAAATTACTCAAATCTAGCTCTCCTGCTTCCCAGTCCAGTATCCTTTATACTGTGGTGTACTGCCTTATTGTCTCCCATATTAATTTCCCTACCTTTCATTCTACTTTGATGGGAACAAAATACAGTGAGAGTAGATAATAGATGTAGCTGCTTCTCACCTCTCATCAAACCATTCATTTTTCCTCTCCAAAAACCTGTATCCCATTTTTGTGTCCAGGCCAGTGTTCCAGGATTCCTATAACCTGCCCCCACTCTCTTGCCCGGCCCAGCCTTTAGAGGGAGATGAAGGCATGTGAATTCACAGTGACTTTGGCTTTACAAAGGATCTCACTGTAATTCTTCTGCATTTATATTATTAGGAAACTTAATGGTCTCCAAACCAGTAACTTCCTTTTTTGGAATGGAGAGTTATCTAAGTTCTGGCTGACAATCCCCTTCCTCTAGGCTCTGGTTCAGCCTCCCTCCTGCACCTCATTGTTTACAGGTGTGGCCAGGAACACTCTGAACCTGCCACAAATGTGGCTGATTATTATCCTCAGCGTGGTCCTCTGTATTTTGCCTGTGATTGGGTACCGATTTCTCAAACCATTGTTCTGGCCTGCCGACGTGGACAAGGTGAGTGGAACAAGGAATCTACCCAGATATAATTCATGGTCCTCTCTGCCTTTGCCTCGGTGGATAAAAACCCTGTCCTCCATGCTCTGACTATAGATTATGAACAGAATTCATCTTTGGACAAGACATCCACTGCTACCCCCTACCCAGACCAAACTGAGACACACAAGGCCTCGACGTTCTGCCTATGCATTCTCCCACAAACAGGGCTTTGGGGCCCTCATCACTTCAGGCAAAACAATGAAGGACCAGGTATTCAAGAAAAACAGCTTTCCTTTTAAAAAGTAAAGGCCCTTAGGGAAATCCCAAAAGAATCAGTCATTGCTCTTCCTCCCTTGTATCCACACAAATTAATAGGGATGGATTAGAGCCCCAGGGAAACTAGCATAAACCTGCCATTCTGCTCTCACTCTAGGGGCTCAGCCTCTTCATTCCCTAGAAGGTTGTGGCCAGGTAAGGCAAGGAAAGGTAAAGAAAGGACCTCCAGATATCTGTCAGAGTTGCAGCGGTTCAAGAAAAAGTGACGTCAGGCTTCCCTTCCACCAACCCTTCCAAGTTTTAATCCACACAAGCAACTATGGAAGTGGTGAGTGAAGAGGGGCAACGTAAGAAAGGGGAAAAAATATATATATAGATAGATACATATATATCTCCTAAGAATCTTACTTTGGGTCCTGTTTCCCATACCCAGAGCAACCGTAAACATTGCCAGGGCTCCACACAAGTATATCTCACCAGATACCTTTCTCAGGTTCATCTGGGGAATTCAGGGTAAATCTTTTGCTAGCCCTGGGTCTCAAAAGGAGGAGGCAGCTATGAGAAGTTGGTCATAAAAAGCTGAAGGAGAGTTTATGGACCAAAAAGAAAAAAAGGGGGGGGAGGTGGGGAGCTGGTTCCTGCCTTGATAAGACAGCTCAAGATTTCACCTTCTTCCCCTCTCTTTGACCCCTTTTACCCAAGAACTGACACCTTTTCAGGCTTCAGAACTGGGAGAAGGAGACTGCTGGGGATGTTTAAAAATCCTTTCTTGAGGGGGTATAAGCCACAATTGATGAACATTTGTCTTCATTCCATAAAATTACTTTGAGAAGAAATTGTATGTACTTGGGAAATTGTTTCTGAGAAGTTTATGGAGTAATAAATTGCTTATTTTGGAGTGGAGAGATGTGTATGATCTGTTGGATACCAGTGACAGTAACATCCAAGCAGTATCATTGGCCCCACTGCCCTATCCACCCCCTTTCTCTCCTTTTGCAGTTCCATTTCACTTTTCTGTCCTTTGTTGCTAAACTCTATCTTGACCTCAATATGACCACATCCTTTGACCACGGAGCTTTATCCCCTTTACACGCCTTAGTACTAGGTTGAATGACTTCATCCAGACTTCGTTTATCAACAGAAAGAAGATTCTAAACTATCTTAGATCTTTCTTAGAAACAGATCCATTTATTAAACTGATTCTGAAATCCTTCATTTAGTTGAATCCTAGGAAATTCACACTCAGTCCACCAACATGTATTAATCATTTTCCCCCAAAACTTCACCCAGGATGCTGCCACCATGATCCCAGTCACCCAAGGCAGTGATGGAAATCATTCCACACTCCTCCTCTAGTCTGATGTCTATTAATAGGTCATCAAGAAATGTAAACTCTGGGATGCCAGGATGGCTCAGTCGTTAAGCATCTGCCTTCAGCTCAGGTCATGATCCAGGATCCTGTGATCAAGCCCCGTGTCAGGCTCCCCACTCAGTGGGAATCCTGCTTCTCCCTCTCCCACTCACCTTGCTTGTGTTCCTTCTCTGGCTGTGTCTCTCTATGTCAAATAAATAAAATCTTTAAAAAAAAAAAAGAAATGTAAACTCTGCCTCTTTATTATGTCTTGTTTTCGGTTCCCTCCATCATTACTACTCTTGTTCAGACTTCGATCATCTTTCATCTGAATTATTGCATAAAATCTCCCAACTCACATTCCTCGTTTTCCCCTATCTAAAGCATCCCACCAATACTACTTCCAGAGTAATATTTATAAATAGCAAACTTGATGGGTGCCTGGGTGGCTCAGTGGGTTAAAGCCTCTGCCTTCGGCTCAGGTCCTGATCCCAGAGTCCTGGGATCCAGCCCTGTGGCCGCTGACTCTCTGCTCAGCAGGGAGCCTGCTTCCCTTCCTCTCTCTCTCTCTCTCTCTCTCTGCCTGCCTCTCTGCCTACTTGTGATCTCTGTCTGTCAAATAAATAAATAAAATCTTTAAATAAATAAATAAATAAATAAATAGCAAACTTGATCATGTCAAACCCCGACTTTGTACCCCTTAGTGGCTTTCTGTGCCTTCTAGATAAAGTTAAAATTTGAACATTTTATTATTGGGCCCTCTCTAGCCTTGCCTTCTACTACTCCCCCATCTGTATTCACTCCAGCCATGCCACATCTGGTCTTCATGTCATCAAACATGTTATTCTCCTATCCTAAAATGTTTTCCCTCACTCCCTTCTTCGTGTAGCAAAGTCCTAGGCACCCTTCAAAACAATAGTTGGAACTAGATAGAGGTGATGGTTGAAAACCATTATGAACGTAATAAATGCCACTGAATTGTGTACTTTGAAATGGTGAATTGTATGTTATGTGCATTTCCCCTCAAATTTTTTTAAATATTTTCAAAAATTTACTTATTTGACAAAGATCACAAGTAGGCAGAGAGGCAGGCAGAGGGAGAGAGGGGGAAGTAGGCTCCTTGCTGAGCAGAGAGCCCGATGCGGGGCTCAATCCCAGAACCCTGGGATCATGACCTGAGTCAAAGGCAGAGGCTTTAACCCACTGAGCCATCCAGGCACCTCTCAATTTTTTTTTTTAAGATTTTATTTACTTATTTGACAGAGAGAGATCACAAGTAGGCAGAGAGGCAGGCAGAGGGAGAGAGGGGGAAGCAGGCTCCCTGCTGAGCAGAGAGCCCGATGTGGGACTCGATCCCAGGAACCTGAGATCATGACCTGAGCCAAAGGCAGGGGCTTAACCCACTTAGCCACCCAGGCACCTGATTTTTTTTTTTTTTTTTTTGAAAGATCAGGTTAGGCAGTTTCTTCCAAAAGCTTCCCCGAATTCCCTCAGTGTGACTTATATACCTGTCCTATGTATTTACTTGCTTCCCTGTTAATAACTCTCTCAGTGACACTTTATCACAGGGCATTGGAATCATTGATATACTTGTCTATTCACAGCATATAATAGGACTTCAATAAATGTCTGTCAAAGAATGAACAAATGAAACATATGCGCTTCTCTGCCTGGTTTTCTTCTTTCCTGAACAGCATCACCACCCACTGGCTCAAATCAGAAACCTAAGGTCTTTCTGGACTCCTCCCTTTCCTTCTTCTAATCCTGTCCATTCTTTTTTTTTTTTTTTTTAAGATTTTATTTATTTATTTAACAGAGATTACAAGTAGGCAGAGAGGCAGGTGGGGTGGGAGGGAAGCAGGCTCCCCGCTGAGCAGAGAGCCCCATGTGGGGCTCGATTCCAGGACCCTGGGATCATGACCGGATCCGAAGGCAGAGGCTTTAACCCACTGAGCCACCCAGGCGCCCAATCCTGTCCATTCTTTACCAAGTTACATATACTCTCTGCTAGAAATGTCTTCAAATCTCTCCCTTACTATTCATCCCCAGCCCCATTGCTTTCATCATTTTTTGTCTAGATTAGAGCAACCTCTGCCTCTTTGGTCTCCCTGCCTCTGACTCTGCTTCTTTCCAATCCTTAATCCATACCATACCTTTCAAAATACAAATGAGGTCTTGTCATTTACCAGTTTAAAATCCTTTAATGACTCATTGTAGCTTTCCTACCTGGGTGCTTCCACTTCTCCCACTTTGTCACTACTTTCTGTTGCATATATTCTCATTTCTGCCATATCAAACTATTTGTAACTCCTCACAAAGTTTCCATCGTCTTCAGAAACCTCTATGCTTTGGCTCTTTGTATTCTCTCCTCTTAAAATAAACTTCTCTCCCTAGTCTAGTGAATGTCTAACTGCTCTTCACTCTCAGCTTTGGTCACTTCCTCTGGGAGCCTTCACTGACACCCAGCCTCCTATTCTGAGTTGGGTACCTCTTCCTTGCACCAGACCTTCCTTATATTAGACCACCTCATACATTTCTCTTATTTTCAATTCCCAAGATTTGAATGTATTATCACTCCCATGCCTATTTTAGTTGTGATTTACTTCTCTGTCTTCTCTACTAGGCCATGGTGCTCTCCTTGAGGACAAGAACTTTGTTCCATTATTGTATTAGCATTTAGATTGTTAATATTTTTTAGAGAATGAGTAAATTAATAAAATCTCCTACTTTTCATTTGTCCTAAACTTGCCTCTTACCCTGTCCTTTTTTTTTTTATATTTTATTTTTATTTATTTGAGAGAGAGAGAATGAGAGAGAGAACATGAGAGAGGAGAGGTCAGAGGGAGAAGCAGACTCCCTGCTGAGCAGGGAGCCAGAGGTAGGACTTGATCCTGGAACTCCAGGATCATGACCTGAGCTAAAGGCAGTTGCCCCACAAGCTGAGCCACCCAGGAACCCCTTACCCCGTCCTTTCAAAATGAATCTTATCCTTTGGTATCTAGTGCTTAGTTATACTTTAGGAGTCTCTTTTTATGAAACATGGCCACTCATGGTCTGGTCTCCCTTATAAGGCATTTGTAAGAAAATAATTTGGACCTAAATTATCCTCCAATGTTCCTGAACAATCAGCATCCTCTCCCAGTGGTTTATGTGCATCTTGGGAGATATGAGTCTCCATCTCTGCTGAGGATCCAAGATAGCACATGCCATATTGCACACTGAGGGGTGAGATGGCCAGGCAAGACTTGGAAAAGGGGAGTGTGAAAAACAATTTTTATGTGCAATTTTTAATCACCTCATCCAATTGAGAAAAGGTCCAGAGATTCAGACATTGATAAGGGATCTATGGAGAGAATTGCTAGTGGGCTTTGAGTCTACCCTCAGTTCAGTTCAAGTTGGGAGGGTTTTAAGGAAATTATTTGAAGAGGCTGATATGATAAATGTGTTTGGGGGATACAGAGAATGCACACCTAACTCCTACCTGGAAAATCTAAAAAGCAGGAGAACAATCAGCTATCTGTTTTATGGCAGAGCTACAAGGTGGCTGCTGGTGGCTGCAGTGAGATTGGCCTACACTCCCTACACTGTGTTTTTCAGGACAAAGGGATGAATGGAAACTCCCCATAGACCACCTACTTATGGGCCATCTAACAGACCTAGGTAGCTAGTTTCTTTGTTCTGTCAGAGAGAGCATCTGAAAAGCTGAGGAGATCTCAGCAGAAGGAAGCAATAGATCTGCTGTCAAATGCTTAGAGATTTCTGATTAGATAAAAGGTCACCGGAGGGTGGGCTTGATTGCCTATGAAGGGGCATGAGGTAAATTTGCTGTATCTAGATTTTGGAAGTGTTTACATGGGTATATATATTTGTCAAAACTCATCAAACTGTACACTTAGTATCTGTGAATTTTATTGTATGTAAATTATACTTCAATAAACTTGCTTTTTAATTCTCAGAGTTTTGGGTTTTTTTTTTAAAGATTCATGTATTTATTTT